GATTGTTATACAGAAAATGAAGACCTTTTCTTTCCTTGTATTTTATGCACTAAAGAAAAAACAGGGAAAATGGATTATTCTATAGCACGAAGGGACAGGTTAGCACAGAAGGAAGTCATGGCACAGAGCCTCGTTGACACAAAGGCAGTGGTCCAAAAGATCCTCTGATGCTTTATTTATTTTTTGATGTTTTCCTTTCCTCGCTGTCTCACCTCTCTTCCTTCCTTTTCCTCTCTTTCTCTTTTAAAAAATATTTATTTATTTATGCCCATGTTTTATTATTATTTTTTAATTTGACCAGAGAAATACAAAGGGAGAAAGCAAGCTGCGAGGTCTGGGTCTGGAACAGCGGTCCGTCAAGTGGGAATCCAGCACCTTTAACCACCACACCACCCGCTGGCCCCTCCCTCTCTTTTTTTTTTTTTAACAAACTGCTCAGCTTTTCCAATTTCTTTTAAAAAAACAATTATTTATCATTATTATTATCTTTTAAAGAATTATTTTATTTAACTTTATTTATTTATTTACTTTTAGTTTGACGAGCGAGCAAGCGAGAGAGAGAGAGAGAGAGAGAGAGAGAGAAAGCAAGACAGCAAGCCGCCAGGTCCAGAGGACTTGAACCATGCCATGGTCGGAGGGAGTCCAGTGCCCTTAACCACCATGCCAACTGCTGGTCCCCATTATTATTATTATTTTAATTTGCAATAGGGCACATTTGCTTATCTAAGAGAAACAGAGGGAAAGTGAGAAAAAAAAGCACCAGGTCCGGGACTCAAGCCATAGGGGGCTGTGTGGGAGTCCAGTGCCTTAACCACCATGCCACCTGCTGGCTCCTCTCTCTCTCTCTCTCTCTCTTTAAAATTTGCTATAAGGTGCCTGCCATTGTCAGAGAGAGACAGAGGCAGAAAAAGTGAGAAATCACTCAGCCTATAATTTTAGACTTACCAAAAAGTTACAAAGAATAGTAAAAAGATTTCCCTTCCCCAGATTCCCTGACATTAACTTTTTTTTTTTTTTTTTTTGAGTTTTTGCCATACATGTGCTCACCAAAGAGAGATACAGAGAAAGAAGGAAAGTCAGAAATTACCCTCCAAGGTAATGGACTCGCTGTAATCCCTTCTCCTTCATTCTCCTCTTGGGATTTTGGATACACATGTACATGTACAGGACATCTTTTCCAAGCCACGGGGTCTGGGACTCAAAACTGTGGAGTTGGTCACATGGGATCCAGCTGCCTTAACCACCACACCACAGGCTAACCCAGTGTTAACCTTTTAAATTCATGATAGGCAGGGCTTGTGTCCAAGTGAGGTTGGGAAGGGAGAGAGGCCTCAACCTGTGGTCACATTGTAATCCCTTTCCCTAGGCTTCCAGCTCCTCAGGTTCATAGTACCCAAGTGCGTGGGATGTGCTTTGGGTTCATCAGCAGGGATCAAAACCCTGGATGGCCATGTGGCTTCCACACTGCAGTTTGGTAAGCTACAGACTACGCCATAACCCCACCACCACCACCACACACACACACCAAGCTAATATTTTATTATATTTATTTCATTATTTTCTACTTCATCTGAACCTTTTGAGGGTGAGTTACAAACATGATTTTTTTTTTTTTTAAGTTTGGTGTAGGACACATGCGCTTGCTGCCAGAGACAGAGAGGGAAAGGAAATGATCATGCCACAATCCTTTCTCCTCTACTCTCCTGTTGGGATTTTGGGCACACATGCATGCACAAGCACTTGGTGTGTTTCTCAAGTCGGGTCTGGAACTGCACAGTCTGCCATGAAGGATTCACCACGCACCTGGCTGGCCTGACATGATTCATTTTTACCTCTGAACACTTCATGGGTACTTTCTTAAAACAAGGACATTCTCAAGCCAAACTACAGTACCATTACAAAAATTAGGAAATTAACTCTGATCTAATAATTCTAATCTGCAGACATTATTTAAATTTTGCCTACTATCCCACTAATGTCCCTTAGAGGAAAAGAAAATTTTTTTTTTCTTGCTCAGAATTGTCTCTTAAATTTCTTTAATCTGGAACAGTTCTTCAGACATTGTGTCTTATGACCTTAATAGATTTAAAATTCCAAGTCAGTTATTTACTTATTTGTTTTTCTTTCTTGGGGCCAATTATTTTGTAGTTTGACAATTTGGGTCTCTGATCTCATGGGTTTGGGGCATTTTAGGTGTGGTCTTGAATGAAGACTTGGCCCTTCAAAGTTCCTCTCAACCACCTTATACTGGTTATTCTTATCGTATAAATGTATTCACAGAATATGGAGATAAGATTTAAAAAAAAAAAAAAAGACTTCGGTATTCAGAACTACCGTGCAGGTATTCTATATATTTTTGTCCTGGTATTCTATATATTTTTGTTGCTTGATATTCTTGCATTTAACAAGTTTAACAAAAGTAAATTTGTATAAGGACTACCAACTGTTGTTTTGAAATAGTTGAGACTTAAATTACCTGCAGACTTCCATTTTGAGAATCTCACCTCTACAGTGATGAACTATGCTCTAGGCTTTGGAGACAAAGAGCTGCGAAAATGGGTGGGTGTCACTCATAATCACTGAACAAATATTTGTTGAGTGACTACTATATGTAAGGCTCTGTTCCAAACCCAGGAATACATCCGAGAACAAAAAAATCTCTGTCTTGTAAGTCTAGCTGGCCAAATTAAACTTCAAATTAAAAAGGAAAAAAATCAGAAACGAGGGATCCAACTTGCTTACACAGAAGCTGAGTGTCTGTGAAAAGGGGCAGCTCTGAAGCGGAAGATTCTAATTTGGATAATACAGCGCAACCCCTGGTAAACTCGCTGATTTAATCGAGTCTCCAGTTTATCCAAACGGCGCTGCACAAATGATTAATCCAATACCAAAGCCCTGGAAGGTCCGGCGGGGCCAGGCTTCCAGTTCCCGAACTGTTCTAACCTCTTTTTCAGCCACAGTAGTCCACCGGGCGAGAGGCTTCCCGGCTGCCTAGCAAGAAGGGATCCGCCGCGACCGCGCCGCGCACGGTACCCGGGGTCCCTTTGAGGCCGCACCTCCAGGGCTGGCGGTGCAGAGCACCTGGGAACCGTGCACGGAGAAAACCCCGCGGGGTGGAGGCTCGGGGGAACCGGCTCCTCCAGGCGGCCTCGCCCACTGCAAAGCAATCTGGGTGGTTTTCCAGGTCCCTCCCAACCTGGTTCCGCACCCAGTCCCTTCCCCCGCGACGCCCGAGGGCCGGGGAGGGTGCTTAGCGATATCGCGGCGGCGGCGTGGAGACTGCCGGGGCCCATTTATGGCTCCGCGCCGGGAAGATCTAGGAGAGGGACGCACACCCCCAGGAAGTCGAGCCGCGGTCCGCGGTGGGAGCGAGCACTCACCAGCTCTGCGACTGTGGGGACCCGGCCTCCCGCGGCTCTCGGGGCACGCGAGCAGCTA